TAGGGATGAGCATGAGTGATGCGATACAGCAAGCTAACTCCTCAACTTCCAATGATCCATTGCAAATCCCAACTGGACCAATCACAAGAGCAAGAGCTAAAAGAATTAAGGAAGCTTTGAGTGGGCTAGTGCAAGACACCTTGACAAAGCAAATGGCATTTATTGGAGTATCAAATCTGGATAAAAATGCTGAGGATGTCACTAATGTCATTTGGGCTGAAAATGGAGCTACTGATCATATCTTGGGCTTGGAGACTTCAATTTAAGGAGCTTGGATCAAGTACAACACATGAGAAGACTCATTTGGGCCTAATTAATCATATTTTGGGCTTGATATGCTGATTATATTTCATTAAATGCATTTGTGCGAAAATTCATAATTAGTTGGCAGATTTGACTTTTGAATTTCCAAGTTACCTAAATCAAGTCCTTATGAATTTATTATGTTTTGATTTTCTAGATTGCATTTAATGCTTTTTAGGTCAGATCTTGAATGTATCCTCTATAAGATATTGTAACCCTCATTTTGGGAGGAGATTTGGAATTTTGAATGAAAACTTGCATTTTGCAATTTCTGATTGAGAGGAGTTCTCTCTAGGGTTCTTCATTGAACTAACAGACTTATCAAGGCTTGATCAATCTTGTGGCGTCTTTCAACACTTCGGGTCCTTGTTCTTCCGTGTTCAAGGGTTCAAGTAGATCACCAAACCTTTGTTTACGTTCTTGGGGTGCGTATATTCAGATCGGTTGTGGGTTCGTGGGATTTTTCCCTTGTGGGTTCTCACCATCTTGGTATCAGAGCTTTGGATCTAAACTCAGGTCATATTTTTCTGTTAGTTTACCTTCATTTTCGTTCTTCATTTGGTGCCTTTTCTTGTGTCTGTTCGTCTTCTGCGTTTCTGTTCATCACCGAAATTGTCATCCTTGTCCATTCACTTTTCCGTTGAGTTTTGTGAAGTTTAATAGGTCATTTTCATAGTTCGGAATCCCTTCTTTCGTCTCGTTTTGGTTTCATCTAAATCCGACTTTTGTAGGGCAAGTTATACCCATTTGAAAAGGACGCGTTTTCTGGAATTTCTGGGTTCAGATTGCTTGTTCTGTTTTGTTTATGGTATTTTTGTGATTTTCCTTGCATTATTCAGTGAAAAAAAAAGAAAAGAAAAGGGAAAAGACAAGAAAAAAAAAAAGGAAAAAAAAAAAGGTACCTAAAAAGAAAGGGACAGAAAAAAAAAACGAAAAGAAATTATAGTGCTGGCAGTGTTTTGAGCAAATCATCTTCATATCCAAATTCTATTTTGGCTTTTGCAATACTTGTGTCAATTGAGTTTCTGACTTTTCTTGAAGGTCCATATTCAATACTCTTAATTTCTCAAAGTTCCTAAGTGTTGGCTGATTCTGCATATTGTGATTGCTTTGTTTAAATTGTTTAGTTCTTTAAAGAGCCTCAAGAGGGATTTCAGAGTGGAAAAAGGCAAGAGTGATATACCTCAATTTAAAAGCCAAGTTTGAGTGAAACACGAGTGTTGAGTGTCATTCTTGAGGGAAACACGTGAGGAAATTTGTGAGGAACTTTACTTCACTAACATAATTAATTTTCCTTGAAGTCACAATGTCTAATGCAGATGGGACATCTGGTGGTAGTGGAAATCCAATGAATATTGAAGACACCCTTAGGGCAATGCAGCAACATTTTCAACGGATGAATGTGGTTTATGGAGAGATAAGGGATAGAATGGATAGACAAGATGAAAGGATTGTAAATCTGCAAAGAGCCCAACCTAAACCTAGAAGGCATGGAAGGCAAAGGGAGGTTTCTATGGATGACTTTGAATCTGAAAATAACAAAGTTGGTGGTAGTGAGGATGAAGTCAATTCTGAATCTGAAGTTGAACTGATAAGGAATAGGCATAGAGGGGATAGGTATGGGAGAAGATATGGGAGAAATAACCCAAGGGAGAGAGATAGAGTAGATGGGAACCTTGGGAGCATCAAAATGAAGATACCATCATTCCAAGGTAGAAATGATCCTGAAGCCTACTTAGAGTGGGAAAAGAAAATAGAAATGATGATATAAGGGACGGATATGGATCGGCTAGAAACAAGTTAGGAAACTAGACGAACGATCAAAGGTAGGACCTTAAGAGAACCTGTCTCTTACAACCCTAGCCATGGAGACACCACAAGGATGATCAGTCCTTGATACAGTCGAGTATTCCCACGAGAATACGAGGCGGCAAGCAAAGCTCACTCAAGAGAAATAAAATTCTCTAAAATTCATTCATTCAAATCTGATTCTCAATTACAAAAAACGTAGCCTTATATAGGCAGCAAAAGAACACTCTAGAATAAAAAACCCTAGGTCATAAATGCCATAAATGTGCCTTAATGATGATTGACTATCTTGGTTGGCACCAATTAAGGCTAAAGGAAATAGGAAATTACCTTTTCTTGAAGAAAAAGGCTTCTACCTAAAAATAGGAAACTAACCTAAAATATTCTTATGCAATCTTTGACCAAAAGGCCTTATTTAATGCAAATAAAAATGGAAACTTAAAAAAAACGAAATTAAACCATAACTAATACATAAAGACGCCTTCTTGATTCTTCTTGAATATTCTTGGACGTCACTTATGCTCCTCCTCCAAGGCACATGCTTGTCACATGGTATTTTGAGTGAATTCTTTAATCTGGACTGCACATGGGCCTTGTACATCATCTTGTTTGGCTTCTAGCAATGTAATCACCATGTTTGGACCCTTGATGGGCTGATTGAGGGATGCTTCTTCCAAATAAATGGGCTCTAACTCTTTAAGATCTTTTATCAAACAATTCAGCGCCTCTTTCATAGATTTGGTCCTTGCTCTTGTCATTGGGCCTACAATGCCTTGTAATGGGTCTTTTAGAATATTGGACTTCCATCTTTTAGCTTGGGCTCCACGCTCCGTGTTTTGGTCTTCCTTTGATGCTTGATCATGCCATGCTCCCCTATCATTCCCTCCCTGCTCAAAAGGATTCGTCCTCGAATCTACAGCATCAAAGAGAGATAAATCAGTCACATTAAATGTAGCACTTACATTACCGTAGGAGCTAGGCAAATCTATTTTATAAGCATTATCATTGATTCGCTCCAAGACTTGGAAAGGGCCATCTCCTCTTGGCTGCAACTTAGACTTTCGTTGTTCTGGAAACCTCTCCTTTCGCAAGTGTATCCAAACCCAGTCTCCAGGCTGAAAGACAACCTTCCTACGACCTTTGTTAGCTTGCTTTGTATATTGCTCATTCTTTCTCTCGATGTTGGCCCTCACCTTAGCATGTAATTCCTGCACAAACTCAGCCTTTTTCTTGCCATCAAGGTTAGCTCGTTCACTAGAAGGCAAAGGCAGAATATCCAAAGGAGATAGAGGATTAAAGCCATAAACAATCTCAAATGGAGAGAAAGAAGTGGAAGAGTGAATAGCCCTGTTATATGCAAATTCAATATGAGGCAAGCAGTTGACCCAATTCTTCAAGTTCTTTTGAATTATTGCACGTAACAAGGTAGTGAGTGTTCTATTGACGACCTCAGTTTGCCCATCCGTTTGGGGATGTGCCACAGTAGAAAACAGCAACTTAGTTCCAAGCTTACTCCACAAGGTCCTCCAAAAATGGCTAAGAAACTTTACATCCCTATCACTCACAATGGTTTTAGGCAATCCATGCAATCTAACAATTTCTTTGAAGAACAAGTCAGCAATATGCACAGCATCATTTGTTTTAGAACAAGCAATAAAATGAGCCATTTTACTAAATCTATCCACTACAACAAAGATACTATCTTTCCCAGATTGAGACCTAGGCAAGCCCAACACAAAATCCATAGAAATATCTACCCAAGGTTGGGAAGGCACAGGTAGAGGGGAATATAAACCATGAGGTTGAACCTTAGACTTTGCATGCCTACATGTCACACATTTAGCACAAACAGACACAACATCTTTGCGCATACCAGGCCAATAAAAGTGTTCATGCAAAAGAGCTAATGTTTTGTCAACACCAAAGTGACCCATCAAACCACCACCATGAGTTTCTTTTACAAGCAGCTCGCGCATAGAGCAATTGGGAATGCACAATTTATCTTTCTTAAAAAGAAACCCATCAGATCTATAAAAGTCATTCACCCCATGCTTTTCACAAGAAAGCCAAATTTTGGAAAAATCACAATCAGAGTCATACAACCCTTTCAATAATTCAAATCCAAGTAATCTAGCATGAAGAGAAGTGATAAGAGAATACCTCCTAGAAAGAGCATCAGCAACAACATTCTCTTTACCTTGCTTATGCTTGATCACATAAGGAAACGTCTCTATGAATTCCAACCAGCGAGCATGCCTCTTGTTAAGCTTACCTTGAGACTTTAGAAACTTCAAACTTTCATGATCAGAGTGAATAATGAATTCCTTGGGCCATAAATAATGCTGCCATGTTTCTAAAGTTCGTTTTAAAGCATAGAGTTCCTTGTCATAAGTAGAGTAATTCAAAGAAGCTCCACTTAATTTCTCACTGAAGTAGGCAATAGGCCTAGACTCTTGCATTAGAACAGCACCAATACCAATCCCAGAAGCATCACATTCAATTTCAAAAACTTTATTAAAATCAGGTAAACACAAAAGTGGTGCATTGGTTAATTTCTCTTTCAAGGTATTAAAAGCTGTTTCTTGTGTTTCACCCCATTTAAATGTCACATGCTTCTTAACAAGCTCATTTAGAGGTGCAGCAATAGTTGAAAAATCTTTCACAAACCTCCTATAGAAACTTGCTAGTCCATGAAAACTCCTGACTTCATTGGCATTCTTTGGGGTTGGCCAATCTCTTATAGCTTTTACCTTTTCCTCATCCACATGGATCCCTTGAGCACCTACAACAAAACCAAGAAACACAACAGAATCCATGCAAAAGGAGCATTTCTGAAAATTAGCATATAAGCTATTCTCCCTAAGAGTTCGAAACACCTCATGCAAGTGAATAACATGGTCATCTATTGTTTTACTATAGACAAGAATATCATCAAAGTAGACAACCACAAACTTCCCAATAAATGAACGAAAAACATGATTCATCAAGCTCATGAAGGTGCTAGGTGCATTAGTTAACCCAAAAGGCATAACTAACCATTCATACAATCCAAATTTAGTTTTAAATGCTGTTTTCCATTCATCTCCCTCTTTCATGCGAATTTGATGATAACCACTCCTTAGGTCAATTTTAGAGAATAAAGTAGCACCATGCAACTCATCCAACATGTCATCTAATCTAGGAATGGGGTAGCGATACTTAACTGTTATTTTGTTGATGGCTCTACAATCAATGCACATTCGCCATGAACCATCTTTCTTGGGCACTAGAAGTACTGGAACAGCACATGGGCTCAAACTTTCCCTTACAAAGCCTTTCCTCATGAGTTCATCAACTTGGCGTTGAATCTCTTTAGTTTCTTCGGGATTGGCTCTATAAGCTGGTCTATTAGGTATAGAAGCTCCAGGGATGAAATCAATCCTATGCTCAATTCCTCTTAAGGGAGGAAGCCCATCGGGAACTTCATCAGGGAATAGGTCACCAAATTCCTGCAACAAAGCCACAACACTAGAAGGCAAAGAGGGGTTAAGTTCGTTAGTAGAAAAATAAGCATCCTTGTACACAAGCACCAAGACTCGCTCACTCACTAATGCTCTCTTAACCTCACTTTTTCCAGCAAATAGACTCTCTTTCTTTTGTTCATTTTTCTCATATTCATTCCTTCTTTTCTTTTCTTTTTCTGTACTCTCTCTTTTTTACTCCACTCACTTATCTTTTTGCATTCCTTCTCAATCCTCACTTGGTCATCATAAGCTTCTTTAGGCCTAAGAGGCTTCAATACAATGATTTTTCCACTGAAAGGTACAGAATAACAATTTTTGTAACCATCATGGTGAGCTCTACTATCAAACTGCCATGGTCTTCCAAGCAAGAGATGTCCAGCAAGCATTGGGACTACATCACATAAAACTTCAGCATGGTAGTTGCCAACAGAAAAAGAAACCAAAACTTGCTTAGTGACCTTAGCTTCAGCACTATCATTCAACCATTGCAATTTATAAGGCTTAGGATGCTTCATAGTAGGTAAATCCAACTTTTCAACAAGTAAGGTACTAGCAACATTGGTAACACTACCACTATCAATAACCATGCTACATACCTTATTCTTTATGAAGCACCTAGTGTGGAAGATGAGCTCTCGCTGCTCTTGCTCTTTATCTTCCTTTGGTTGCATGTTTAGGGCTCTTCTAGCCACTAATGCTTCTCCCTTAACGGGTTCAGCTTCATCAATCTCCAATTCAGAATCAGTCATCAAAGAAGGCATGTCATCATCACTTTCATCGCTAGAATGCATACTGTCATACTCGCCATTATCTTTGAGAATCATGGCCCTCTTATTGGGACATTGGGAAGCAATATGCCCTTTTCCATGACATCTAAAACATTGAAGAGAAGAGGTTCTATCAGTAGAAGAAGTTTTAGAGTCAAGTTTCTTACCGCCATCAATCTTGGGCTTGGATTCCTCCTTGGCTTTTGGTGTGAATTTTGCAACATCTTTAGCCTTAGAATCCTTCCACGTGGATGCTGATCTAGAGTCCCTCCAACCATGAGATGAGGATTTGGAGTGTTTTTCTTTATACCGCCTCTCAACTTTGATGGCTTTATGCACTAGCTCTTCTTTATCAACAAAAGTGTACATCTCAACTTTGTCTCTAATTTCAGGCCTTAACCCATCAATGATTCTGGTCATGCTTGCTTCTTCTCCTTCTTGTACTCCAGCTCGCATTTTAAGAAGGTCAAGTTCATGCACATATTCATCTACAGTCATAGAGCCTTGGCCAAACAGTCGTAACTTTCTGTTTAGCTCTCGGTAGTAGTAACTAGGGACATATTTGTTGCGCATGAGTTTCTTTAGCTTTGACCATGTATGAGGTGGTCCTTTGCCCTTAAGGCGCCTTTTAAGCTGTAAATCTTCCCACCAAACAATAGCATAGTCAGAAAATTGATATGAAGCAATTTTTACCTTCTTTTCTTCTGGCCAGTCATTCATCCTAAAGATTTGCTCAAACTTCATCTCCCAATCAAGGTATGCATCTGGATTTATATTACCCTTGAAGGTAGGGTACTTGATCTTTGGGTCATAGGTGTCCAAATCACGTTTTTTAGGACTGCTCCTATTCTTTGAGGATGAAGAACCAGATCTAATCACCTCCTCATCACCACTACTTGCTTTGGATGCTTTTAGCTCCTCTAGCTCCAACTTGAGTTTGAGAAATTCATCTCTCATGGCTCTCATGAACAGCTTAGGATCTGTGTTGAATTCTTCCACATTGGCTTCTTTGTCACTCATCTTGAAATTGAAACGTTAGTGTGATCAAAGAGAAATGAAATAGTAAGAAGGGACCTTACCACTCTACTCGCGTGTTTCACTCGAGAAATTGTAGTGTCACTCGTGTTTAACTCAAATCTGGCTCTTAAATTGATGTAATAACACTCTCGCCTTTTACCACTCAAACTTGCCTCCTATAGTATTCTTGATTGAAACTCAACAAAATCAAGAGACAATGTTAGTAAATGGTAATCTCCACAACCAGAATTGCAAGAACCAGAAAATATAAGAGATAAGAAAGGAACATGTGATAAAAGAAGAAGGATAGGTACCAAAAATGTCAAAGGAAGGAAAAGAGGAGGGAAAACGTAAAAGGGAAAAAAAAGAAAAGAAAGGAGAATATGGAAAGCTATGAATTAGAAAAGAAAGAAGAAAAAAAAAAGGAAGAAAATATTTAGGAAAGGTGCTACCTTGAAAATAATTTAGGAAATTGGGCACCTTGCAAGAAAAGCAAATCAAGTTAGGAAGGTGAGATATGGAAGGAAGGAAGCAAATAGGAAACTTGAAGGAAAAGGAAAGAAACTCAAATTAAGCAATACGGAAAAAAAAAAGGAAAGGAACAAAAAATAGGAAACAAGAAGAAATTAGGAAACATGCAAAGAGAGGAAATAAGAACTCTTACCACCCAAGTTTAACGATTTAGGAAACTAGTTGTGACTTGTAATGGAAGCTCTTCTCAATTTTAGGAAACTCATCTTTAACATTGCAATTCTCAAATCTGCAGCTTCTTCTCTTTCTTTCTTTTTTTTTTTTGAATTTTCGGATTTTTTTTTCCTTTTTTTTTTTCTAGCACTCCTTTTTTTTTCACAACACAACACCTTTTTTTTTTGTTTTTTTTTGGTGCACGAATTTTTTTCTTTTTTTTTTTTTTTTTGCTGCTCAAAGGAACACAGAAAGTCACAAAAAAAAAACACAAATAGGAGGTGGAAAGGCAAAGAAACAAATTGATGGAAGCAAGGGATGAAGAACGAATGATAGAATTAAGAAGATGAAACAAGAAAACAGAAATAATAGATAAAAGGATAGAACTTGAATTCTAGCAAACCTTAGCTCTGATGCCAAATGATATAAGGGACGGATATGGATCGGCTAGAAACAAGTTAGGAAACTAGACGAACGATCAAAGGTAGGACCTTAAGAGAACCTGTCTCTTACAACCCTAGCCATGGAGACACCACAAGGATGATCAGTCCTTGATACAGTCGAGTATTCCCACGAGAATACGAGGCGGCAAGCAAAGCTCACTCAAGAGAAATAAAATTCTCTAAAATTCATTCATTCAAATCTGATTCTCAATTACAAAAAACGTAGCCTTATATAGGCAGCAAAAGAACACTCTAGAATAAAAAAACCCTAGGTCATAAATGCCATAAATGTGCCTTAATGATGATTGACTATCTTGGTTGGCACCAATTAAGGCTAAAGGAAATAGGAAATTACCTTTTCTTGAAGAAAAAGGCTTCTACCTAAAAATAGGAAACTAACCTAAAATATTCTTATGCAATCTTTGACCAAAAGGCCTTATTTAATGCAAATAAAAATGGAAACTAAAAAAAACGAAATTAAACCATAACTAATACATAAAGACGCCTTCTTGATTCTTCTTGAATATTCTTGGACGTCACTTATGCTCCTCCTCCAAGGCACATGCTTGTCACATGGTATTTTGAGTGAATTCTTTAATCTGGACTGCACATGGGCCTTGTACATCATCTTGTTTGGCTTCTAGCAATGTAATCACCATGTTTGGACCCTTGATGGGCTGATTGAGGGATGCTTCTTCCAAATAAATGGGCTCTAACTCTTTAAGATCTTTTATCAAACAATTCAGCGCCTCTTTCATAGATTTGGTCCTTGCTCTTGTCATTGGGCCTACAATGCCTTGTAATGGGTCTTTTAGAATATTGGACTTCCATCTTTTAGCTTGGGCTCCACGCTCCGTGTTTTGGTCTTCCTTTGATGCTTGATCATGCCATGCTCCCCTATCAAATGATCTTTGAGTGTCATAGTTATTCTGAAGCTAAAAAGGTGAAGTTGGCAGCAATAGAATTCACTGATTATGCCATTGTTTGGTGGGATAAATTGGGTATTAATAGGAGGAATAATGGAGAGAGGCCTGTAACAACTTGGAGCGAAATGAAAGCTCTAATGAAGAAGAGATTTGTTCCCAACCATTATTTTAGAGAGCTTTATCAAAAGTTGCAGACCCTTACACAAGGTCCTAGGAGCGTAGAGGAGTACAATAAGGAGATGGAATTGGCCATGATAAGAGCTAATGTGCAAGAAGATAGAGAAGCAACAATGGCCCGATTTCTAAGTGGGTTGAACAAAGATATAGCTGATATAGTTGAATTGCATCATTATGTAGAACTAGAAGACATGGTGCATATGGCTATTAAGGTGGAAAAGCAACTCAAGCGAAAAGGTGCTTCAAAATTTCATTCTGGATCAACTTCTTCTTTCAAACAGAATTGGAAGAAAGGAGAAAAAGCTATCCAAAAGGAGACCACTAGAGGCAAAGAAGAAGCTTCATCAAAGAGCAAAGGTAAATCTGATTCCCAAACTTCTAGAAATAGGGATATAAAATGTTTCAAGTGTTTGGGTACAGGTCATATTGCTTCTCAATGCCCCAACAAGAGAGTTATGATTCTGAAAAATAATGAAGTTGTGACTGAAAGTGAGAGTGAAAGTGATGACTCCATGCCCCTACTTGAAGATGCTAGTGATGATGGGATTGAGTATGCTGTGGAAGGAGAATGCCTTGTGGTTAGAAGAGCCTTGAATTGTCAAGTGAAGGAAGATGAGTTGAATGAGCAAAGGGAAAATATTTTCCATACTCGCTGCCTCATTAATAACAAGGTATGTAGTTTGATAATTGATGGTGGGAGTGTTACAAATGTTGCAAGCACTACAATGGTTGAGAAATTACATTTGCCCACTGTTAGACACCCTAGACCATACAAGCTGCAATGGCTGAATGAATGTGGGGAGATTAAAGTTGATAAGCAAGTTCTTGTTTCTTTTTCAATTGGGAAGTATTGTGATGAAGTATTATGTGATGTTGTTCCTATGCATGCTGGACATATACTTTTGGGAAGACCTTGGGAATTTGATAGAAAGGTAAAGAAAGATGGGCTTACAAATAGATATTCTTTTGTAATGAACAACAGACCCATTACTCTTGTACCATTGACCCCAAAGCAAGTGTATGAGGATCAACTTAAGATGAAAAAAGAGAGAGATAAAAAAGAGAGTGATATGAAAAATGTGAGAGAGACATCAAAAAGAAATGGGAGTGAAAAGGAGAGAAAAGATGAGAGTTCAAAAAAAGAATTTCAGAAAAAAAATGAAGAGAGAAAAGAGAAAAAGAAATTGAGTTTTTATGCAAAAGAAAGTGAAGTGAGGAATGCCTTTTTGGCTGAACAACATTTGCTTCTCCTTGTTTACAAGGAATCCTTTTTGGATACTAATGACATTAACTCTTCCTTTCCAAGTGTTGTTAGTTCTTTATTGCAGGAATATGTTGATGTGTTCCCAGAGGAGATTCCACCTGGATTACCACCCATTAGAGGAATTGAGCATCAAATTGATTTCATTCCAGGAGCAACAATTCCTAATAGGCCAGCCTATAGAAGCAATCCATAAGAGACAAAGGAACTTCAAAGGCAAGTGGAAGAGCTCATGGCAAGGGGATATGTTAGAGAAAGCTTGAGTCCTTGTGCTGTTCCGGTACTTTTGGTCCCAAAGAAAGATGGAACTTGGAGGATGTGCATTGATTGCAGAGCTGTGAATAACATCACTATAAAGTATCGCCATCCCATTCCTAGATTAGATGATATGCTTGATGAATTGCATGGTCTATTGTCTTTTCTAAGATTGATTTGAAATCTGGATACCATCAAATTAGAATGAGGGAAGGGGATGAATGGAAAACTGCTTTCAAAACAAAACATGGTTTGTATGAATGGTTAGTTATGCCATTTGGGTTAACTAATGCACCTAGTACTTTCATGAGATTAATGAATCATGTTTTGCGTGCTTTCATTGGGAAATTTGTTGTGGTTTATTTTGATGACATTCTGATTTACAGCAAGAATCTTGATGAGCATTTGAATCATTTGCATTGTGTGCTTGATGTTTTGAGAAAGGAAAAATTGTTTGCAAATATGAAGAAGTGTGATTTTTGTATGGATAAAATTGTTTTTCTTGGCTTTGTGGTGAGTGCTAAAGGAATAGAAGTTGATGAAGAAAAGATAAGAGCTATTAAAGAATGGCCAACACCTAAAAGCATAACTGAGGTGAGAAGCTTTCATGGTTTGGCTAGTTTTTATAGGCGCTTTGTCAAAGATTTTAGCACACTTGCTGCACCACTCACTGAAGTTATTAAAAAGTCTGTTGGTTTTAAATGGGATAAAGAACAAGATGTTGCATTCATTAGGCTTAAGGATAAATTGTGTTCTGCACCTGTATTAGTATTGCCTAACTTTAACAAAACTTTTGAGATTGAATGTGATGCATCTGGAGTTGGAATAGGAGCTGTTTTGATGCAGGAAGGAAAGCCAATTGCTTATTTTAGTGAAAAGTTGAATGGAGCAGCCTTGAAGTATCCAACATATGACAAGGAGCTCTATGCACTTAAAAGAGCATTAGAGAATTGGCAACACTACCTTTGGCCTAAACAATTTGTAATTCATACTGATCATCAATCTTTGAAGCACATTAAGGGTCAAGGTAAGCTGAACAAGAGACATGCAAGGTGGCTGGAATTTATTGAGACATTTCCGTATGTCATCAGATACAAGAAAGGTAAAGAAAATGTGGTGGCTGATGCATTGTCAAGAAGGTATACTCTTCTTACTACTCTAAATGCTAGGTTGCTTGGTTTTGAATATATCAAGGAATTGTATGCCATTGATGCTGATTTTGCTGAAGTGTTTCTTGCTTGTGAAAAGAAAGCATTT